GTGGAGATCGTATGGGCGCACTGATTCCATTGTGTCCCCACGCATTTGTGGTTCGTCGTCTATGTCCTCTGGTGGAGAAACTAACCCATCTTCTAGTGCTCTGGCGTTGGTTGTAGAGGTGAAAATGAAATCAGGCTTGCGACATTTTGAGTTAGGATTATCTGACTCGGGAGATGTGGAAGAAGTATCGATCCACTCTCCACACAACCGGTCGGCCGACTTCTGATCCATGGCACAAGCGTGTTTGTTGATCGCAGTGAGAATATTTGCGAGAGGACCGTACATTTTGCTTTCCAGACCCCGGGGTTTCTTCGCTCGGGACTCCGAGGTCCCGACGTCCTTTGAAGGACCGCCTCTCTTGGAGGTCTTGCGGCCTTTTAAAGGACCACCTCTCTTGGAGGTCTTACGGCCCTTTGAAGAACCACCATCCCGGAAGGCCTTGCGACCCTTCAAGGAACTACCGCCCTGTGAGGTCTCGCCGGTCTCCAAGGAACCACCAGCTTGAGAGGTCCCGCTAGTCCCTAAGGAGAAACTATCCTGTGAGGTCCCGCCTGTCTCAAAGGAACCGCCATCCTGTAAAATCCCGCCGCTTCTTGAAGAACTGTCCCCCTTCAAGGCCTTCTCGGTCTTTGAAGAACCATCCCGCGAGGTCTTGCCGCTCTTTGAAGAACCATCATCCACATTGAGACCAACCCACTCGTCGTCCTTGTAGAGACCATTGTCCTTGAGCTTGTTGATCAGCAAGGAAAGGTCGAGATCTCTAGGGAGCGGAAGCAGCTTCTCCAAGAAATCCACCGTATTGACACGAACGTGCATCTCGGATAGATCTTGGTCTATGAGCCGACGTTCACCAACAGCGTTGGGGTGTGAGAAGACTAGACGGCGTTCACTGTCGAGAGTCATGGAAACAGATTAAAGTGGGGAAAGCTTAGATGAATGTCCCCACTCACCTAAAGACGCGATTTATACTTGGTAATCCAAGTGCTATGTTTGCTTCTGGAAGGATTGAAGAAGAAGAACATATGTTCAGAAGGAGGTAGGTGGTGAAGGAGTTGGTGAAGCGTGCAGCGTGACTGATGCCAAGCGTTCACGCGCCAACTGTCACGCCGTGTACTGCATTGATGGCATGAGCAATGGTAAACTCTCAGCTTGCGGTTGTCCGCCTGACGCGATGAAATAAGTAGAAAGCAAGGGCACAAATATATGCACCCAGAGGAAGGCGCCTATACCGCCCTCCTTGTCGAATGTACTTTTCTGTAGGTGCCACTTCACGGATGGGGAGTCGTTTGGAAAATATCGGAATTACTCCGATACCCCAAGTTCGAACGCCCGTACTAATACAAATGTGTATGTTGAATAACCATATCTCGCACATTCAGTAAGCGTGAGGTCATAGATATCCCGATTAACGCGAAGAATGTTGCTGTCGCATGTCGCGAAGCGGGTCACAAGCATATTGCAGTCCTCATTGAGACAAAGCAAGATAAGCGAACCAAAAAGGACTGACCACAACAGCCTGCACAGCTGTACAACTACCAGAGCTCGGTCCGAGTGGCGCGATCCAAAGCGCCAAAGTTTACTCCCCAATGGGTACAATTGCAAACTTGGTTCATGTATGAAGTACGTATACATCAGCTCTCGCTTGGAAAACTCTGACAGGGACCCACAGAGAGACAGCCGACCCCACACGCCGGATCTCCCGGTAGTAGAAACCACGCGACTATGAGAAAAAGGTGCTGGTTGGCGTAATGATCACTGAACAGACCCCCATGTACAATCGAGAATAGTCCCGCCATAATAACGACGGGTGATGCAAGAAAGGTGTATGCCTCGCCCAGTCCGAGGCCTGGATCTGGGATTCCGTCCGAACTAAGACAATATACCCATCCAGTTGAGCATATCAAACGAAGCCTTATCCAAATGATGGATGTTTCTTGGTTGACTGCGAAGAGCAAGGTGTTGATGTGTCCATGTACCCCCCGGTATTGTGGTTGTCAATCTGAGAGTATGTAAGCCATCCAGCTTATAGTAAGCAGAATGTCGTTTCTAGATGCTCCTCATTCCTATCCGGGCCTATTAACAGCCACTTGACAGCCACCGTGCAGTGTATCAAGGGCAGAACAAATGATCTGAAATCTTGGCAGAGGGCCTCACTGTCCTAATGGAGCTCATAATGTGGATGGATGGCCTCCGACTACCCTTCTGATATGCTGGTGCCCTTAAATGATTTCATAGCTTGAATATCACAACACCAGTGTTACCCCGTTGGTCCCCTGCATACCCCTAATTCTCCTTGCTCCACGTGGAGTATTATAACATCTGGACGCATTCTCCAGACCCTGGATGTATCCCGTCGGTCATTGTTCCTGTGCGGTGAAGCAACGTCCTTGGTTGTGTATCGGGGCATCTGTTATCTGATTCCGTGTATTTTGCGAGGCCTCGGGCAAGCAAGTCAACACTCCCACACGCGCACCAGCATGAACGGAGGTGGAGAGACTTGTTGCTGATTGTTCCGGATCCCAAACGGGCGCACCACAGACCGGCTTGAAAGAGCAGAGAGGACAGATGTGGGGTCGGTCAAATGTCCCATTTCTGGGCTCTAGGTATCAGACGGCTGATGGAGGGGTCAAAGAAGCAAGGCATGGTTAATGATTAATGAATGTCAATGAACATTAATGAGCATTAATGTATTAATGAATATTAGAGTATTAATAGATGTCATACCAGAATTGTCGATCACTTCGCCACGGATTGTACCGCCGGCTGGAAGAACGGTTGGGAAATAGGACAACGGTGCCCCAGACTATTCACCATAACGTCTAAATTCTGGTGAACAAAAAACAGTCCACAAAGGGCCATTGTGATATGCCGTGCACTCAAGCTCAGTGTCCTTGAACATGACCCTACCTAAAGCTTGGAAACGTAAGCGTCGAGTCGACACCTGACTTAATAAGAACATGAACACTCCAAAGGGGAAAAACGGCAGACACCTGCTGCTTGTACGGTCGGATGAGATTGACCGTCGCTATCATATCAATGGTGCATACAACTGCCTCGACACTAGACAGGGAGGAGATTGAGTTAGTCCTTCCTTGAGGATAGCACCGCAGGAAGTGATACGGGAGAGGTCGGAAGGGGGCGAAAACTGTCGCATGACGGGTATGGTTTCGATGCCTGAGTGTTTAGGCAAGCTTGAGTCTATTAGTGACGCCTGCGGCAGCGATGCGAATAGTCGCTGTAGAAAGGTCTTTTAGGTAGGTTGTACCGGTTTATTATATATTCCCCATTCTAGACCGATTTTCATAACGCGTTTCGACTTCGGGTCGAGGATCTTTTCCAAGGGGTCCAAGCCGCGGAATGCTGCGGTTGATACGTCAAGCGGCATTTATCTGCCCTGGTGAGCTAAGCGCAATCCCGTAGTCAGCGAAGCGTGTGACAATAGAAAATTCCCGCCTCAGCTGATAGCCATCCCTTAGAAGGTGTCGACCTCAGATTGAGTATAAGTGTTTCTCTCACTAGCTTTGCTCTTCATCGGACTTGGTGTGTGTTTACGAGGTCAAGAAGCTTACATCATGATCTGATCACACGACCCTGAGACTCGAAATATTTGTGTTCCCAGTTGTGTCCAGCTGGCCTGACTTGTTCCATTTCCCCTGGACCGAAAGCATCAAGTGAAAGCAACAAACCATGTCGCATATATTCTCCCATGGACCAGCATTACAGGCGTACAATTGTATCTGCTGCTTTCTTGTTTGGCCAGGATCTTTCTGACACGCTGGCATAATAGTGGCCCGTAAATGTCTAACTCTCGTGTCCTTTGGGGGTGCGCCCTTTTCATTCATCATCAACGCTCCCTTCGGACGATTCGCTCCCAGGAATGAAGGGTTATTTGTGTTGGATGGTATGTTGTAGTACTATGTTAGGTTAAGCCCCGCTACTAATCGAAACATACTCAAGGCCGAAGGGCGTGGATGGTTATGGAGATAGTCTCTCCCATCATGTTCATATATGCGCTTGCTACAGCTCCTTTGGCGCAACATAGCTCAGGGCTACCAAGTATCACTTCCCCGCAGGGTCTCTTGGCTGCCCTCTTCCTCCTCCATTACGCCAACCGAGCCATAATCTCCCCATTGCGAACACCCTCACGCTCCAAACACCATATCGTTGTATCCCTGTTGGGCATCTTCTTCAACCTTCTCAATGGTTCCATCATGGGTTCGTATCTGTCGAGTCCATTCACCCTCCGATGGTTCCAGCAACCCCATGCAACTCAGCGTATCGAGTTCAAGCTCGGTCTGGCACTATGGGCACTTGGCTTCATCGGAAACGTTATGCACGACGAGATCTTGCTGAACATCCGTCGTAAAGCCAATGCTGCGGGCAAAGCCCGGGAATCCCCCAAAGGACAGGCCAAGGAGGAGTACTACGCCATCCCTTATGGACTTCTCTACAATTACATCTCTTATCCGAACTACTTCTGCGAATGGATTGAATGGTTCGGATTCGCCCTCGCATCCGGCCCTTTCCCATTCCGATTGTCTTCACTTTCGCTCGTCGACCTCGCATTTCTTTCATCGCCCGTTCACTGGATTTTTGCCATTGTGACCCTCGTGATGGAACCCTCCGCCAATTTTATGCCGAACCTTTCCCCTCCGTGGATTTTCTTCCTAACTGAGATTGTCTTGATGTTACCCCGCGCTTACAAGGGACACCAATGGTACAAGGAAAGGTTTGGGGAGAGTTACCCCAAAGAGCGGAAAGCTGTGATACCCTTCCTCTTGTAAGTGCAGCATTCTAATGAGGTAAACGATACTGAACATTCTGCAGATAATATATGTAGATGACCCATGTGTATGGATAGGGTGATAATATTTTTTATCGTTTGTCCTCCTCGACTGAATGGTGACCTCCTATTGCTTCATTTACCCTGTCAATCATCTGGCGAGATGGCCGAGTGGTCTAAGGCGCCAGACTAAGGACTAGGGCATTCAGATGCTCATTCTTTCCTCCTCTACGAGGAATCTGGTCCTCCGGGGCGTGGGTTCGAATCCCACTCTCGTCACACTTTTTGAAAGTCACTCCGCAGGCGAGGCCCCGTCCAGAGAAGACTTTGTCGATTGGCTTCTTGTCTTTTCCGTCCCAGCCTAGGTGAAATTTTCCGACTTACTGAGGCGCCAGTTTCCGAGCCATCTGTCTGCCCTACGAATAAAGGTGTTCCCAAGCCCGCCGTTACGGTGCATAAATGCGGGATGAGCTGTCAAAGGGATCTCGACTGTTTATGGCAAGACTAGAAAGTTGCAAGCTAAAAAAACTAAACTATTCATCACATTCACCGCCGAAATATCCCAGAATACGACGATATTCGAGAAAGCCAAAGAAATATAGTTTTCCCGTATCGAGGATGGCGAGCGAGCCTATACATATATACTACGTATAGTACAAACAATAAAATAAGCCTTGTCCTGGACCAGGACCAAGGACGGAGGCAATTCCAAGAACGGATTACCTTGCCATACATACTACGAGGTCTCGGTAGCCGCCCCGTCATCTCTGGTACCGACTCAGCATCGCTCATTCACCAGACATCCACCTATCAAACCCTGGCTTCAAATACGACGTTCAAATTTGGTGCGGTCACTCCCTAAATGCTTTCACTATCGCCATAACACAAGGAAAGACTATTCCAGGGACATTGGATACCAACCCAAACCCAAAGGGAGTTAGTTCTCCGGTGTTACCGGTGGTCGTATTCCTTTCGGCAACCCCACGTCCTCAGTGCAGAAGTTGGAAGCAACTCTATGGGAAGATTTTTGGAAGGCATACAACCCGCTAGCAGTAGACTGGAAAAACCCACAAGGACCCTTTGACGACGATGACGACGATGCAGGAATTGATGGGGGATGTTGGGGCTGGGAAGAAGTGTATCGGGGAGCTGGGCCATTTGGTGCACTACGCACCCCTGCATCCAAGTCTAAAATCGGCGAAGAGCCCGTGAGGGGCTGAAGAACCAAATATTAAAGTTTACCAGAATATTCCTCGATTCCGCGAACTCACCGAATTCTTTTCTTCCCATCAGATCCTGGAAACAGCTGATTTAGTTCCACTTACCACCGACTTGTGATTCATCTCGCCCCAATGTTGTTTCGTCGTACATGTGCAATCCATCAACAAGACCCAATTTTCCGGATCTTTGTTCTCGACATCACACGAAGTCGGTCAGCTCTTTGGGATCTCGGCGTGAGATGAGGAGATACTCGAATTAAAACCGCCCAAACCGCCGTCATTCGGGGCTATCGTGTGCCAATTTTAGGAGCTTGGTGATAATCATTCGTCCCCGGATATCGCATGTTTGACCTGAACATGGGACCTTTGAAAGGTTTCGCATGCGTAGCATGATTATAAATGAATTTAGTTTAAGTCCTTCCTCGACTCCGTTTCCCCGACGATCGTTGGAAGGTATTGTATTGACCAATTCTGATTGGCAATTTGGCCTAGCATGTCGGTGGAAAGATAGTTTAAAAATAGACGAAAGCGCGCAGGCAATGTGGCAATACATATATAACATCGGAAGGAATCAAGGCACTGGATAGCGTTGCATGTAGAAGTCGAATACGATAGAAAACACATACAGCAGAGTTTTAGCTCTGATAGCCTTTCGACACCTTCGCATAGGACGGAAGCGCGTCGCTCTCCGATGAGCCTATGCTCGGTTCATTTGGCTCCCGCGAAGGCGGATATCCACTGGGGGGGATTACGACAACGACCCCATTCCGACCAGGAGCGGGTAACTGAGTCCCCCTTCCACGTGAATCAGAACCCTTTTCCACAGAAGCGACATCTCGCATCTCGTGAGACTCCACATGAACAAATACCTCTGGTTTTGCCCTGTTACCAGGACGCATAGAATCGAATAGATGTGTAGCCTGATGAATATGTTCACACAGGTTGAGCAATCGTGCCAAGAAGTCCCTAGAACTCCAACTGACCTTTGTAGCAGGGTTCCGAGACGAATAAGTAACATCGTCCTCCCAACCGGAATGCATGTCGTCGTCATTCGTCTGACCTGGTCTTTCCGACGGGATGGTGCGGATCTCTTGGGGAGGCAATGTACTGGTGTCGTTGTACTTCCAACCACCTCGTGAGTTAAGACTGCTGATCAATGAATTGGAGTATAGCTTGCAGAGAGGAAAGTTTAACATCAGGTGGCTATCATCAATGGAGGCGACTGTCAGTTACTGAAAGGTTAGAAGTGGCGACCTACTTACGTTCCTGAAGACTAAACCAGCGACTAATGAGCGACAGACAACCACCATAAAGTAAAACACAATGACTTACATCGGCTAAGTAAACTACCAGATCTACAATGGCAACCATGGAGGTGATAAGGCCAGTTTGAACTGAGACTAGAGAACAAATCAGTATACATGTGGCAATGCTAGATTGAGGGGCTCACCCCGGATGATACGATCGACCATTAAATCAGACCCCCTAAAGCCAGTCTTATGACTACGCTAGAAGATGAAATAAGTAAGGCGTTGCATTAGGGAACACCAGTCGCGTACCCTTGTCAGCGGGGTCAGTGCGCGGTAAACTCGATGCTTGGAAGAATCACTCACAAGTACCGCACGAGGATTAATGTGATAATGATATCAGCGGCACTCGCGCAGGATAACCAGACAATCACAACGTTCTTTGGATAACGTGAGCAGATATGCGAATTCTGTAGCAGGAAAGCAAACCTGGAATTCCTGGAACTTGGTGAATTCCGGGATGATGATAATCTCATAAGTGGTGACAATGGCACAGACTTCGCAGCGTTCAGTAAAAACAAATTGGTTCATAAAATGAGACACACCTCCAGCTGTAATGGATAGAGCGACTACGATTATAACTGATACCCAATTCCTCGTGAGGACGAAAATTCTCCAAGAAAAGAACAGTTGGACCATCAATTCAATGATGCCCTATCGATCGAAGTAATGTGGGTATTAGGGTATCATATCATGACAGCTAAAGGCCGCACCGTCATTGCAGGATCTAAACTCACAACAGTGAGAATACTTAGTATCGGGTAATCATTATAACACAAGTCGGCTGACCTGTCGCGAATCCTGGTATAGCAGGCAATATCAAGATCATGGTCTTTTCAAAAGCTCGGGATACGCACGCCAGTTCGCTTTCTGAAGAAAAGCAATATCCGCTGTAATTCCAGGGGGGCTGAGCTATTTGAACACTCTCCTGGCTGTTGTGATACTGACCAAAATGTATAATCACGGACTCGTATATGTAGACGAGGTCAAAAATGGTGTTGAGGGTATCCGCCAAGAAAACAGCAAAAACCTGAAGCGACCCGGGTTAAGCTCCGAGGCCCTAGGGATGTCGTAGCGAAGACCACGTACGAATATTTTCATCCATGTGCGGTCCCTATTGGTTTACTGAGTGAAAATTCTCGATCACAGCCCACAAAGACTCACTTCTTGTACGTCGTGAAGTAGATGTACGTCTGGGCGATCATGATGCCATATAGCAGCACGTTGAATATGATGCCGATAAGCATTGGACCATGACTTCGTATTTGATTGAGCAAGACCTGACAGGTGGAAAGAAGAAGACTTACGCGATCTCCGCAGGGCCCTTCATCTTGTAAGGACAGAATGGACAGTGTAGGCCCCGAGCCTGGTTTGAGAGGCCAAAGGCGGGTGTAGAAAGGGGGCGGGCGGGAAGGATGGACCGTCGATGGCCGAGTACCCTAGTATTATATTAGCCAAGATCTCTACAATACTGTGCTCCATCCTGGTGGGAACTTATAAATAAGATCGAACGAAAGATCAACAAAGAAGCACATCAACCGTCCACACAATCACAGTCGGCAAAATCCCTCAAGAAGCTGTCGCTCAGCGCTCAACATTCAGTGATGGGTTGTCTGGTCCCTCGGAATTAGGCCGAGTTGCTCGTGCACACCGTGTCTTCTCAGGAATTCAGTAGAAATCTCCTATGCTTGCAGAGAAAAACTTGATAGCATCTCGTACTCTCAATAATCACAATACTAAACCAAAGACGAATGCTTCACGAATAACTGCAGATTGTAATTCCGGCCTCATCGTGAGACTGTGGCCTTGTGATGCCACTAGATAAGGCGTGGCCAACGGATGAGGTTCATCGACGTTCTGAACTGTTTATTTCTGGCCATTGAGGAGCCGAATAACCCGAAACGTTGCCCAAATCTGATAAGTGTTTAAATCTGCATGCCATGGTGAAGTTGACTGACCTGTTGATGAAAACGGGAATCCTTCCGTGTTGAAACGTTGACACTTGAGGATGTTGCTATAAATTTAATCAAGAGTAATTGGCCATCAGAAAATTTAGGTGAAGTTACTTCGGCACAGACAGTGGCCGAGATTCGAGAGACTGTCCGCCGTAACCGTTTCGAGTGGGAACCAAACTGAAGCATCAGTTCAGGGCAGCAGGATGATGGGTTTTATCGACGTGGTCCGTGCGGCGTGCGGGAGTGGTGCTATTCTCAACACTCACCGATGCCAATATGGAGCGGATGTGGAGCGTCAATACGCCCTATACATAGTTACAACTGTACATCGCTGATGTTGGAATGATCGTCGCGACGCTCTGGTGAGAAACTTGCGGTGAATGGGTAGGAAGTCAGTGGGAAAGCCTCAGAAGTTCTGTTAATACTAAATTATACTATTGGAAGAAGGGTCAGACGACAACATGTCTACCAAGGGATTACTTAAACTCCACAACTCCAAGACCATTCGACCCCATGCCATCAATCAAGCAGGATCTACTTGCCCGCGAACATCAACGAGAGCGAAGTTGACTTGGTACACATGGACGTCGGTGAGCCCAAGATCCCGGGGTTTCAGATCCATTGCCTCTTCTGCAATTCCAATTTGACGCTCGCTTCGTTTCGTCCTGACAATGAAACTAGTGTGACATTGACTATCCCGATAAGTATCACAGCGGAATTCTGAGAAGAAGTGAGCATGTTATGGTGTAGTAGAAACCCCATTTTCTGGTAATTGCCTGGCCATGTGGGTCCCCCCC